GGAGAGTCACATCTGAGCCCGGAGAAACTAAGCTAACCATCAGACGAACCTGAAAAGGCCTTCATCAAAGAATAAAAGCTAAGTGGCTGTGGGAATTTTATCGTGACTACTCTTGTAAAAATTGGTGAATAGAGAGACTCCTAAGTGGGTACCTATTAGGAAAAACAATTTGTATCCACAGTATATACCAAATTTTTGGGACATAGCATACATACAAATCAGAAAAGGCCACCCCTTAGGATAAAAGAAGAGGGCAAGACCGGAGGGGAACCGGTGTTGCAGCTTGAAAAGGTCTGCCAAGGGCTGCAACCCCTTCGGGCTGTGACCGCCGATCACTATGGCCCTGACCGGACCTCTTCTGCTCGGGGTGAGTTCCTTGACTCTGGCTACGGAAAATAACTGCAGTCAACGTGTGGTGATGCATTATGTAGAGAAGATAACAAGACCGTATGCTATGATCCAAAAGAACTCCCTGAAGGTTATACACAAAAATGTTATTTAACTCATCGCAAAATAGAAACAGGAGTAAAATATGAAATTCCCACAGCTGCTAAAAGTCATTAAAGTGTAGCTAATTGTCATGTTTGTGGTGGAAGATCCATTGTATTAGGAAATATAAGACCCAGTTTTTACTCTGTTAAGCTTTGGAAGGATGTGGAGGATTGTTAATAATTCCATGTTTAATACCTTGTCTTACTAGACTGATACACTTGGTCATACAAGGAATGCAGATAACTGCAGTATACTAAAGACAAAAGAAAATCCAAAATTGGCACCAATTCGGCAAGTATTGACTCAATTAGAAACAAAAACACGAATCAATACCATAAAAAAGAAGATGGGGGATTGTGAAATGTGTTCACCTGATTTGTGTTAATCTCTTTAACTGTTCTGTTTGTCCTTGTATGACCATGGGCTTGGGAGAAGCGGGATTGTATGGATGTAGTTTCTGTTTCTTGTAAGAACCCCTAAGGAAACCATTTTTTTGTTACTGGCCGCATGGTGCTGAGCGGGAGGGGTCTGTGGGGCGCACGCCTGGAGTCGGGGGAGCCAAGGAAAACTCATAGAAGATTCCAGAAGGTGAGGAGGGCATGCGCCAAAGAAGACACGCCTATCCCTGGAGATCATTAGCATAGGCCAACCTTTGTATGAATATGTATTAGGAGAAGCGATATAAACCCAAAACGGGACTTGCACGTGTGTGCCTTGGTTGAGCGGAGAGTCCCGGTGCACCCAGCACTGTTTGCTTGTCTTTACTCGTTTAATCAATTGTAAACTTTAATTGGAATCCTGTTTGAGGCTAAATCATTTATCACACACCCCGAGTGCTGCCGTCAAGCCCAACATATACAAACTAGGTCTACATAAGCAACATAATTCCAAGAAAACATTAGCATCTTCATCACATTTCCTCAAGTTAGTTTATTATATTACAATGAGCTTCAGGGCACGCATAGTCACACTTTCTGGTAGCCCTCATTTTGAGTGAGGGTCATTTCTTCACCTTCTTCACCTGTCCTTTGGCTCACTTTTCATGTTGGCAAAACATTCTAACTGCTTAATTGATGATTAAAACTAATGATCTTCCTGCTACCACCTGTTTGTCACACAATGTCCATATTGATTCCATCCTTGTCTTAGGCCACCATGTTCTCAAGGCCACAGACATCAAGTCCTTGAAAGGATTTGGGATGGTTACTAAAATACCTCCATTTCTTCTCTAAAGGAACATTCCCTACAGTTGAACCATTTAAGGAATGCACAAACTTGGCCAGGAAGGCTCTTGCCTGGTAAAGAAGGACCCTGGGAAGAGGACCTGGAGTTAGAGGGACAGGAGCATCCCTGGTCCCAAGCCTGGTGCCCAACTGGAGGTGGCTCCAGGGCAGGGGCCTTGGTTGGGTGGGCAATGGCCAGTGTTCACTGCTCCCTCTGAGCTCGGCCCCAGGCTACCCC